CACACACAAACAAACACTCACACACACACACACACACACACACACTCTTGTACACACTGATGGGGCTGAGCTTAATATTAATGCATTGCAGTTTCTGAATTTAAGGGCATTTTGTCTCCTTGACATGTTTTGAGCCTGTATTGAAGCAGCTGAGAAGCGTTGATCACTCTCGTTCTGAGAGAAGCGGCGCAGTGTGAATACTGAAGCGCTGTGGTTATGGAAACGCTGATCCTCGCGGCCGCCGTATCACACCACCCTCAGCAGATGCAGCTCCGCTCAGCCCTCCCTCCCTCCATCCCATAATCCACCGCTCTCCGTCTACCCTTGACTACATGATACACAGTCTTAACTTACAGCTCACACACACACACACCGGCCGAGAGATACACAACACATTAAAAATCAACCATGCACATTCTCAAGCAGCTGCTATATCAGTTAACATCATTGAGCCAAACTCAACACAAAGCTCAATGTCAGGGTTAAATCAGCTCTACAGAGTAACACATGCAGCTGTTGCCTTGATTCTTCTGTGTAACCTCAGGTCGATCCATTCATATTAAACCACTTTTTCTAGTATCTACTTGAATAAAGCCAGAAATCATGGTGCTCTGGAGAAATGCATGGGAAACTCGCGCGTTGTGAAGGTGCACATCATTACCAGCGTGAGAGTAATCCAAACAACTAGCGCTCACACATGATCTAACCAACTAACCCAGATGGCATGAGCCGCACAAGACGTCCTCTTTACTCAGCACATTATTCTGCTCACTAAGCGACATTACAATGGTCCACACAATCATAAAAATCACTCTTCCCCATTCAGCGAGATGGGCTGTGGTTAAAGCATAGACACACATGACTGCGGCCAAAAGAGGATCTCAGTGATGTTCCTGTAAACGGCCAGCTCTCGGTGCCCTGCTGGAAAGCAGAAGTGCTGGAGACCATTGAGCAACAGACTGAGGAATTCCCAAGACTTGCTTTCAGTCGTCTTGTGATTCAAGATCAATCTTTCTGCATTTCTTTCAGTAAGGACTGAGCATTTTAAATTAGATTTTGCACGTTTGCCTGTCCAGTACACTAATTAAAGTCAACACAAAGCTGTCTATCAAGCCTAAAGTACTTGGTTTTATTCAAGTCAAAAATATGTTGAAGAATGTTGGTATCAAACAGTTGCTGGTAGCCATTGACTTTTTATAGTATTTTTCCATACTTTGGAAATCAATGGCTACCGTCAACTGTTTGGTTACCAACATTCTTCAGCACATCTTCTTTTGTGTTCAGCAGAATAAAGAAACTCCCACAGCTCTGGAACAACTCGAGGGAGAGTAAACCATGACAGAATTCTCACTTTTGAAATTTTTCTTTAAAGGGTTCATATGATGCTATTTTAAAGATCATTATTTTGTGTATTTGGTGTAACAGAATATGTTGACATGCTTTAATGTTCAAAAAACACATTATTTTTCAAATACTGTACATTATTGTAGGTCCTCTATGCCCTGCCTCTCTAAAACACGTCGTTTTCTACAAAGTCCCTCCTTCAGACAAGCGCAGTCTGCTCTGATTGGCCAACTGACCCAGTGCATTGTGATTGGCCAAACACCACAAGCACGCGTCGGAAATGTAACGCCCCTTACCATAATCGCGAGCTTCATCTTTCAAAATAAATGTAAAGACAGAGCCCGAAAGGGGAACAGAGTCGCGTGACACTACAATACTACAGCGAGAATAAAAGTTATGCTTTCTTTCTTTGCGTGAACATTTGGGTGGTGTTATGCAAATCTTCCCACATCGTGAGGTAGACATGTGGGGGCGTGTTAGAACGAGCCGTTTTAGGTAGGCGTGGCTGACTCTTAACTTTTATAAAGAATATCTCTTTGGATTTGAGACTTTAGTCTTTGCAACTTTACAGATCTTCTTTATGCACCAAGAGCTTGTAACACTCCAAAGAGAAAGGAACAATTGAAATTGCATCATATGACCCCTTTAAAGGTAACAATTCCAGGTTACCACTTTTTACAGTAAGTGCAGTGTGTCACATAGTAAGGCTAAATATTTAAATTATAGAGGACGGGCTGAAAGATTAGGTTCACCTCTGTGTCTCATCACACTGGACTCAATGCATTATTCATAGGCGGCACATGGCAGCCGGGCGGCTCGGGTTCGACACGGCGAGCTGTGGGTGTCTGAGTGCTGGGCGTCAGCACACGGCTATGTAAAATGCATGAGGTGAAGGTTACACTGTACCAAAAACCAAACCAAACACTTATGTTTAATTGCTGCCTTGAGTTTTGAGTAAAATGAAAAGGTGCAAGCTTGCATGTTTGAACTGAAATTCAAAATTATGTAGCTCAAGTGCTAGAGCGTGTCACTGAGCGGTTTTCTTTGAATAAAAGAAACACTTTGCAGCGGAGAACTGGCTGCAGAACCCGTCGTGCCCTAAGCAGTGCCCTAAGCAGTGCGCTATCCGCTCGGCTGAGGCTTCAGCACCCCCTCGCTGGACAGCTCCGCCAATCAGGCGCGCCGCTCTCGCCGTGACGTCACCGGCCTCTGCGTAGTCGCCTACAATGAAGCAGGACACCGGCAAACCAGCCGTTTAACACCACGTCCCATAAAATGCACCAACATAAGCCATATACGCGACTATAAGTGTCCCGTGTCGCTGTTCCACATCATTCACACTCACAGAAAGCCATTCTCACGCAGCGACGCGTCGCTTGAGCTCTTCAGCGTTTCGTGCCGCATAACGCAAAAACACCACCATCAGCAACTTCAATAGGAAAGCGCTCCTGAGGCGAGTGTTAACAGAGCAGCTGATATAGATGAGATAGCACAGAGAAGTCCTGCTGCAGAGGCCCTCAAAGCTTCGAGACTCTCAAACGATGTTAATTCGTGAGCATCTAATGATGCCCGACCCTGTTTCGTCGTTGTATTCCTGCAGAACGAGCATGAGGACACTCACCTAGCACAACCCAGACAGAGCCAGCGACTAACGCGAAGCCGAGCATGTCTCAGTCCCGGGGAGCGACGCCGCAGCGCTCATCTGTGCCGCGTGGAGCCGAGCCGAGCCGGAGGAAGAGAGAGTGAGGATCAGCTCCTGTCTCCTCCCTCACCGGGATGATGATGAGGAGGAGGAGGAGGAGGAGGCACCTATGAGGGCTGCAGATGCTGCGGGCTGATTCCTCACGTCATGTGTGAACACAGCGGTTTACAAAAGCAGGAGTGGTCTCTGCCTCATTTGATGTTTTATGGTTTCTTCCTCATTTGATTCTTGTAAGATAATCACATGTATGACTTAAATCACATCTTTAGTTTTAATTGTATTTTTCACAGACTTTAGCTACCAGACACGCAATAATGTGAGATGTTGATTTACATCTGAGTTGTTTTTTTATCTCGTGACGCGCAGTCCATCTTTTGCTCCATCACCAATTCCCAGAGGAATAGCGCATCACGTGACTCTCAAGCTCCGCCTCCCCGGTTTAACCTTGAGTCGCTCTCCTTCTCCACATCCATCCAGATCACAGCCTCCAGACGCGCATTTCATTCATGTTGGGATGCTTCGTCACATAACAGTGCTGCTGAGACACTTCTTCCTCACTTGTTGGCTAAAATCTGGAAGAGGTTAGGTTTGTCTGCAGGGAAGGGCAGGCTGGACAGTGACGCAGCTGCGTGGATTTGCCTCTCAATCCAATGTCACCGAGCTGTCAGAGCAGATGGCCAGCGGAGATTTACTCAAGCTCTGCTTCATACTCACACATAAACGCTGTGTCTGGATCAGTCCTGTCATACGGGTGCATTGGGAGAGCTCATCTATAGTTTTACATTCATCAGCTAGTGCAATTCCAATTCAGGCCTTTTCTGAGACGAATTCCTTGAGCGTTCCTTTTGCAATGTTTTACTAAAAAATTACAGCAGGTCATGCAGCGGAGAACACAATAATGATAGACACAATAATGTGTGAAACCTGATAAGAAGTTTAGTGGAAAAATTGATGATATGTGGAATAAGACATCATACAGTCTCTCAGATGATCAGTGTGTATGTGTGTGTGAGTGTGTGTGTGTGTGTGTGTGTGTGTGTGTGTGTGTTCTTGTATCTGTCACTTCTTCACCAGCAGGTTTAGTTAACAGGACAGTGTCCACAAAACAACCACCTCATTGTGATTTGTTTACATAGAATATTGTTATTTATCTTAAAATGACTTAAATACCTAAGATTTCAAAAATCTATATTTAGTCAGTCTCTGTAATTACATGATGTTGAAAGCATGATTCTTTGTAAAAAAAATAAAATAAAAAAAAACTAAAACAGCTGAGAGGATGCCACCGTGACATACAAGTGAGCAGATTAATGAAAGAGGAGGAGAACTGCTTGACTTTCTGGTCCCCATTGGCTTTTATTTTTTATTTTTTCATACTATGGAAGACAGTGGTGTTAGATCATGCTTCCAAACCAGAAATATCAGATCCAGCCCCGGATGCCAGATCCTATCAGAGAATATCCGTTTCAGACAACCAGTCAGCAGGCTTCTATCAGTTAAAGAGCTAAAAATAATAATCTGTCATCATTTATTCACTCTCAAGCTGTTCCAAACCTGTATGATTTTCTTTCTTCTGTTGAACTTATGAGATATGCTGAAGAATGTTAGTAAGCAAACAGTTGTTTGACTTCCGTATATGGAAAGAAAATACCACGGAAATCAGTGGGGACCAGGAAGTGTTTGGTTACAAAAATTCTTTAACATATCTTCCCACAAATTATCTTCTTTTGTGTTCAACAGAATAAAGAAACTCATACAGTTTTGGAACAACTCGAGGATGAGTAATGATGACACAGGTTTCATTTCTGTGTGAACTGTCCCTTCAGATTAGGGAACACATTCACTATGAACTAATATTTTCCCTTTAATAAACTGCTCATTGATATGTTTAGGAATTGGGTCGGGTGAAGGGATATAGAATATGGTCAAGCATTCATATATGCTTTATAAGTACTAATGAACAGCCTAGTAATATGCAAACTAATAAGAAACTAGTTAATAGTGATAAGTGTTCTCTAATCTAAAGTTTTAACCCTTTAATTTCAAACCATTGCCTCTGGCTAAAACACAAGGCCATAATCCATAATAACTCTTCCTGCAGTGAAAAAGTGTTCTGGTGTGAATCAGGAGAGAAATCTGCACAGATCAAGCAGCGTTTAAACAGCTCTAAACACATATGGACTCAATGTATTTTAGTTAAAAACGTCTTAATGCTGGATTAGTTTCAGCTTTTGTCTTCTCCAGATGTTAACTGATGGACTGGAGTGCTGTGGATTACTTGTGGATTATTGTGATGTTTTTATCAGCTGTTTGGACTCTCATTCTGACGGCACCCATTCACTGCAGAGCATCCATTGCTGAGACACTGATGCAGTGCTGCATTTCTACAAACCTGATGAAGACACAAACTCATCCTGATCTCAGATGAACTGAGGGTGAGAACATTTTAGCTGAACTATTCCTTTAGCATCGTTTACATTGTTATGTGCACATCTTTCATGTTTTTTTTTTTAAAGAAAATTTATTAGGTTTTGCACTCCCTTTGAACTTAAAGCCAAGAAATGAAATACATGTCAAATTAAAACAGAAATAGTTTATGGATCCTTTGTACTCGAGCAGAGTTGCCCCTCCATGTTATCAGATCAATGCTCGGAATATTTATTGTAGTCAAGGTGAAGCAATTTTCCATATTGTAGGGTTTTCATGTTTTTATGTTCAACATGTTTGATTTCAATTTCAGATCTTTTATTGAATATGTGGAAATGTTTTCACAGTCATTCCTGCATGAGAATAAGACTGGGATCGATTGGTGGCCTTCACACACACACACACACTCACACTCACACTCACACACACACACACACACACACAAAGGCAAAGGGAAGTGAAGGTGCAGTTCAACAGAGAGCCTTTAATTACAGCCTAGCCTACGGATTTACACCTCTTTCTGGACGGCATTACAAACAATAGTGTTTTCTGTGGGTTCAGAATTTGCTGTAGGTGTATATGATGGCCTGGATGAGTGTGAGATTTCCCGGCTTGAATTGTTTCCTCGTCAGCCCTGCTATAGGCCATTACACATTTTAAACATTTGCAAACACCTTTGCCATAATATTAATTCCTGATAGATTGTTGTGTGTTACATATAGAATTGTGTTGTGTTTTGCAAAAAGTCAAAGTCTGAGTATTAGTGTAAGGTTTTGTAGATTTGGTGTGTGCTTCTGCTGTTTGAGTGTCAGCTTTCAGAAACTGTGTGACAAGTAAAGATTTTGTGTGTAAGCAGATGGAAAAACTGTAAATGACAGCGCATGTGAAACTACAAAAAGCAAATCCTCCAGAAGTGTGAAGCGGCGCTATGCAATGCATGCACCAGCAGCAGAGCGGGATCAGATGATGAATGTGTGTGCGCTTGATGTGAAGTCCAACAGAGAACGGTTCTTGATCCATTCAGATATGGCACAGAATAGTGTTATACAGTGCTGTGACTGTGATATGAGAACAGTAAAGGTTGTGTAGTGATGCCGGCTGAAAACAGCCATGACAAGCTAAACTGCATGATGAGGTCAACTGGAAAACGCCACTAGCCTACATAATTACAAGCTTGTTAATTCAGCACCATAGTAATTTAACTTGCAGTTATTAAACCTGGTGTTTTGGCTGAATGTATTTATTATAAATGTTACTGTCATTACTTATATTAAATATTGGGGAATATTTAACTTTTATAGAAGCTGTTTTTGTAGTTTCTACATCTTTAGTTTTTTTTTTTTTTACTACAAATGTCATAGTTTGTTATTACTTAATATTTAGTTTTACAGTAAAAACATACAACCGTGGTCATGAGGACCATGGATTATTTGTTGTGACTACAATCTTACTAACAGGCTACTATCAGTTAAACTCTGGATTCTATGAACTATAGTAAATTTAATTCAGGCAAAGGATAATTTACCAGAATAGCTGTAATAGCTTCTATCTCTTTAAATGTTAGTTATAATTGATTTCAACTGAAGTAAAATGTTACTTAATAAGAGCCTGATTAAAGATAATTATTAGTGTCTTATATAATTTAGGTGTGAACTATTTACAAATAAGTTCTTAAAGGGATAGTTCACCCGAAAATTAAAATGGTCATCTTTTACTCAACATCATGTCATTCCAAACCCTGAATGAAGTTCTTTCTTCTGTAGAACATAAAAGAAGATCATTTAAGAAATTCAAGACATTTTTGTCCATACAGTAGAAATCAAGGATAACCAAAATGGTTTGGTAACATTCTACAAAATATCTTCTTTTGTGTTCCACAGAAGAAAGTAAGTCTTGCGTGTTTGGACTGACGTGAGAGTGAGGAAATTATGACAGAATTTAATAGCAGTACATTTTCTGCATTCTAGCTCAAAATCAATGCTTCATTGTCAAGTGCCTTTCTATGTGACAAAAATGCATTATTAAGTTTGTTTCACTTGCTGGGAATTTAGTAATATCTATCATCCTGTTTTATTTATTCATTTATTTACTCCAATTTAAGGCCCTATAACCCAGCACAACACTCATGAGGATCTCTAACCCAGTCCAGCCCTGCTGATGAGATCCCCTCACAATGTAAAGCGCTCTGAGTGTCTAGAAAAGCACTATATAAATGTAACGATTTATCATCATTATTATTATTATTATATGCAGATTTAGTGTCCAGTGATTTGCTGAGGATGAGGATGGAGGTTCAGGCAGATGAAGCTGAAGTCACTGTTTTTCTGCTGACAACAACTCACTTCAAGAGTTGCCTTTCTAAAAATAAACTGTATAATACTGGAAAAGAAATGCAAGAAAATCCCAGTTCTATTAAAACTCGAGGACCTGTTCTGACCAAAGCATGCATTTGTTGGACTGTCGCGTCCCTGCGAACTGATCTAACAGCAGTCTGATAGCATTGATAATATTTTAAAAACATTTTCCTTATCTTATAAACACATGATTTTGGGTTATTATATCAAGGATCGCTCATTAAAGGCACAATATGTACGATTTTTTTATTAAAATAACCAAACCACTAGAACAGTGTTATATATTTTGCTGACTTGTGTACTTACATTATCCCAAATGTTTCTAAGAATGTTTAAATCCAGAGAAATAAGCAATTTTAGCTAGTGGCACGGAGCGTGTCTACAGTGTCATTGTGTTGCCTGCTAATGAGGTGATAACCCCTCGATTTCCAAAGACGCTTTAATATGTTGTGTGTTGTAATAGACCCTTTGTCTCTTTGTTTATTTTGAATACGCGCCCTCTAGCGGCGAAAATTACATGTTGTGCCTTTAAAGGATGTTTGTTTTATTATACATTTTATTTTATTTTAATGTAAATTTCACATCCATATATGCAAGTTTACAAAGGGCAAACCTATTTTTATAGTGCTTGAAAAAGAGATTAAAATGTATATAGATGT